TTCTTGGTTGGGGTCTGAGGGGTGACACTGCAAATGAGTGTGAAATTTTCAGTCTCCTCCTTTCTGGCTGCCTTCCTAGCATCCCTGCCCTGCAGTTTTCTCCTGGAGTATTTGTTGTGCCTGCGGTTCCAGCGCATTAAACTTTGTTGTGCCCTAAACAAGTTCTGCCTTGCGGAAACCAGATGGCATTTTCCATGGCTACAGCAAACTCAAGAGCTACTGGTGAGACAGAGGAAGTGTTGGAAAAATAAGGGATGTTTCTGCTGTAATTCAGGAAGAGGGTGAAAGCTGCCGATGGATGGAGACTTTCAGAGGCAAATATTTGAGCCTGAGCAGTTTCACTTAAGAAGTGGTGTTTGTAGCTGACTCAGCTCCTCTGTGGGCTGAGCCTGAGGTTATGGTAGGTTTGAAGAGAGGGAGAGAAAAAGTGCCCAAGGCTGAAAGAAAACAGTCTGCAAGGTCATGAAAGGAAAGGACATGCCATGCGTTACTGTGGAGATCTAGCACAAGCCCAATTTTTGCTCTTGCCACTGTAGTTGCCAATTATTTGTAATAATTTTCTGGAAATGTTTGATGAAAGCTCAGAAGCTTCTTTAAATATCACTATCACCACCCATGTGTATGTCAGCAGGGCTGCTAAAACTCTGTTAAAAGACTTAATGGGCTGGAAAGGTGTCCTGGGAAATGGAAGTAGTGTAGGTAATGGGTTCAGGGCACAGCAGAGGCATGTGCAGTCCCTTGGCAACTGCAGCATCATCAGTAAGCAATGAAAGAGGGCTTTTAAATGCCATCCTAGCCATGGAAGGGATCTGCTCCCAGAGCTTTGGCTCCAGCCTGCAACCTTGCTTTGACAGCGTCTCTCACAGGTTGACAGTCTCCCTTGATGAAGGAGGATCTCTCAATGTCTGCGTGACTCCTACTGCAGTTGAAATGTTGCTGCCGGAACAGGCCGGCATGAGGATTCGGCAGCGCTCGTGCCCTTGGGTAAGCCAAGGGGCTGTCAGCCCTGGATTAGGAGATGGTGGAAAGCCACACTTTTGTCTTTCCTTGAGCTGCCTTAGGGATGAAAAGGCCGGGGCCTTGCAGTTGGTCCTTGCCGATTTTGTATCACCAAGTGCAGCACGTAGGTTGGATGCCAGCAGAGCTGCTCTGGGGCCAGGAAGGTGTTGGACCATGTGGGAAACCTTGCCTGTTGTGTGTCTCACACTGGGGTCTGCTGGAGAGAAAGCTCTGTCTCTAAAGGGGCAGCAACTTCTGGAGCTGCTGGGCCTGCTAAAGCCAGCAGAGAGGAAAGTTGCTGGCTCCCCATGCCATCCGCATCTTCTCCAGCGTCTTGTGCACATCCTGTTGCCCCTGAAAGGGTTTGTTCCTGAGTTCCCCATAAGGCAGAGGGACTCCGGATGTCCCAGTCTGGCACCCTGCTGGTTGGTGCTTGTAATAGGATTATAGATGAATCAGGCTGGCTTCCAAGACCAGAAGCAGAGGGTACTTACTGGTCTGAGTTTTAATTTTGGCCTAAACGAATGTAGAGCTCAAGGAGGATGCCTGCCTGTCCTCTCAGCCTCTCTTCCCTGCAAGACAGCAGCTATGGTGTGAGGAGCAACTGGGCAGATGTGGCCTGGCAGCGCAGTCGAGCCTTGATCTGAAGTGACAACCTTTAAGGGAGAAGCAGGAGAGAAGCAGACACTAATGTGTCTGCGAGCTCCTGGCCTCTCCGCTGAGCCTGCCCGTCGTTGAGGAGCTTTTTAAAGCTCTCTCTGAGGATCCTTCGCAGCATCTTCTCTCCATTACGGAGTTCACATTTGAGGGCCACCTTTTGGGCTGTCCCCGAGAGGTAATCCTGCTGCAGCTGCAGTCCTCTACCGCTGGCCTTCTCAGCTTTACCTGAGGAATAAGTTCACAGAACTCAAACCCATTCAGCTGGTGCAGAGATTGCTCTGGTGACTTCATTTCAAGGTCAGTCTCTCTCTTCCCCCTCTCCCTTCTTTGAAGTAGCCTGTACTGCATTGCATTCCCTCAGATGAAACTGGGAGACTCTCGGCTGTTGTCTTGTATTGTAAGAAGCAACAGTGTGGTAGAAAGGAGCAGCATTTTGCTCTGTAAAAACACTGAGAGAAGCAGTCCTGCCGTTCTTCCCTTGTCTCGAAGGCATGTGTGAAGCCAAGGTCGTATCACCGTTAAAACATGTATATTCGGTGTTACCAGTCATTTGTTAGTGCTATTTTTGTGACACAAAGTAGTGTCAGAGAATGTCTACCTGGTTAAATAGAGGAGAAATAAATCTCTACAAACAGAAGTATCTCTAACGAAGCCAAAGCTTTTAGTCTGTGAAGGATTTGCCTGGCATCCAGGCTAGCTAACTCTCCTTTTCCTTTTTTTGTTCTTTATCATTTGGCTTCCTTGAACTTTAACTGAACCATAAGGAAACACTGAAGAGTCTCAATAACTGCCCTGTGAGGATTTGACTTACCCATTGGATCTGCTATTTATAGTGTCCATTAGTACAAAAATGTCTGTCCTTTTGCAGCAGTCATGTAGAGCAAAAACACTGCTCTTCTGGCAAACTGCCTGTGCCTCCCATGTCACCCAAAATATCCATCAACAGAGTGCTCAAAAATGAGCCTTTCTTGATAAAAATCCCCAGAGGCCACTTGTATTTTTATGTATTTATTTTGGATATTCTGAAATTTCCATTTTTCAGGAGGTAAGCTTCCACCCCCAGCCCTATTACTGTGTTGAACGTAATCTTTGTTGCCAGCAAATTAAGTCAGAAAGATTGCCGAGAGGGTGGGAACTGCTTTCCAGCCTTTGAAGAGCCTATTTGCGCCCTAGAACCAGCTTTGATGTAAACAAGTAGGAATTTCATAGAAAGAATATCATTCCAGTAGGGATTCATCTTACCTCGCTGGAAGGATGCTTACAGTAGCTCAAGTGATGGAGAGGAGGTGGCCAAGTAGGTCTCCTTTGGTTACAGTCGAAGATACTTAATCTGATGTGTGTTAAAGCCTGCATTTGAAAAACTAATTGCGGCATTTTCTTAAAATTTTCATGTGAAAATAAGCGTAAGAAAAAAAAAAAATCTCCTAACAACCTTGTCCCAGAAAGGTATCAGGGAAGATTGTCCAAATGAACACTGCTGTTCTTTGGTCCAGCAACCTAACTACATACATTAGTTGATTTAGTGGGTAAGCTACTTGATAAACCATGAAACAGAGATTCATCCAGTAATTCAGGAACACACTGTTGACGAGAGGAGGAGAAAATGAACATTGTCATGATCAGTCTCTTGACAATGCAGGCATCCAGCTCAGGTGGACCCTTCCATGAGTGTAACAGGCTCCAATTGTTTTTCTTCCTGCTATTTGGAAGACTTTTCTGGAACTTCACTCTTCTGACAATAGGAAAATATCTTCAGTTTTCTAACCAGAATTTACTCCTGACAAATTTATGCTCATTTATTCCTGGGATAACACTTTTTTTAATACAGATTATTTCTCGCTGTTTGGTGGTGGTTCTGACATACTCATCCACCACCGCTCACTGTCGGCTGCAGCCAAGAAAACTGCATTGCAGTCACTGCCCTCCTGGCTACCAGTCAAGAGGGAAGTGATTCGTAAGATATAAATATGCACAATTATAAAGGAAATGTTCTTTGCCAGTGTGTTTTTAATACCTCATTACGTATTCAATTTATGCAAGAGAGAGATTAACACTGCATTTTGTTTTTAGGCAAGTGTGACTGTGAAAGTCAAGTAACTTACATCTGTGCTTTATTTGCTGGGGGGACAAATGAGGAGGATTAACCTTACATTAAACAAGAGGAAAGGACTTCTGCAAGAGTGAGATGAGCCCTTCATTGCTAATCCAGCAGAGAGGGTTGCGTGGTTGGGTGCTCTGGAGGTGCACGTAGGGCCCTGGTGTTGGCACTTCCCTTTCCAGCTGCTGCTTGCCTGAAGGCAGCAGTGACGGGGGAGGTTGCTAATCCAGCAGAGAGAGTTGTGTGGTCGGTGCTCTGGAGCTGCACGTAGGGCCCTGGTGTTGGCGCTTCCCTTTCCAGCTGCTGTTTGCCTGAAGGCAGCAGTGACGGGGGAGCCGCGGAGGGGTGTCCTCCGTGTCCTCGCTGGCGGTGATTGGTGGCGTTTCCGCGGTGGCCCGTCACAGGAGGGGTGCATTGCAGTGTGAGTTACACGTTTCTGCCTCCACCAGCAGGCTGGAGCAACAGGGGCGTTTCGAGCGCCTACCCGCGCCGAGGGCAGCCTCGCGCGTGCCCTGTGCTTGCGCTCGCGGGCCTCAGGGCCACCGGAGAGGTGTCCTGTCCTCTGCAGCCCGTGTGCGTGGTGTTCATCCCACCGTTTCAATGATGCTTTATGTTGCAGGCTTGAAAGGGTGAGGAAGACAAATTGCTTCGTCTTAATCATATGGAAATGTTATCTGGTCTTTCTGTTTGAAGTCCCTCATCAACATAACCTTAGATGTCTGTCTGGGAAATGCCTTTAATGCATACTAATCATATGCTAATGGGGAAGAAATAGCATCCGAAGCACATGTACGGATGCAGACATCTCCATGTATTAAATGTCAGTAAGTCCCATTACTCAGTGTGCCTTTCTGCCCCTGTTTGCAAAACAGTAAATGGGAAGCAAAAAAAAAAAATCTAGACACTTAATGAACGATCATCTTAAATTTTTGTGGTTGCTGCACATTCCCCTAACAAACCTAAGAGACAGCACTGACTAATGATACTATATACATCTTCCTGCAAAGGCTCAGGTCCTGGTTTTCATAAATACTCAGCATTTTCCACTGATATCTTTGGAAAAAATCTGGCCGTTCTGGTTTGTATTTCATGATTTACCTGTGTTTCAGTAAAAAGGTTGCATTTTAAAACTGGATTACATCAGCCTCCATTATTTTTAATTTAATCTAATCTTCATAATTAAAAATAAAGCTTTCTCATTAACTTACCTTTCTTTGTTTTATTAATTTTGCTCCTGCCACAGAAGAAGTGTCTGCAAGGATAGTGCAAGTAGTAACAGCCGAAGCTGTAGCAGTCCTGAAAGGCGAACAGGAGAAAGAAGCCCAGCACAAAGATCAGCCTGGACCACTACCTTTAGGTAAAACACGATGAAGAGTGGTAGAAGTACTTGGTGTCTGCAAATGTTATACCTACCTATATAGAGAAATGGCAACCGTGTGTTCATGTAGGTCATAGTTTTGGGTAAACTTGAGCGCTGCTGCATGCGTCCTGGAAGCCTGTTATAACAGTGACACTTTCCTCCCAGTTCACAGCATGCTGTTGACTGTCTCATGCGTTGTGTGCTCCCAACAACAGTTCTTCACCTGGTTCCTGACACCTGAGTGGAGCATCTGTTAATGTGGTCACTGGTGGCAGTTTGGTCATTGTGTTTGGTGGGATCCAGGAGCACTCAAAGCCCCTGTGTGTTCAGTCTCATACATGGAGAGACAGAGAGTGATGTCTAGGGAGGCAAAGGTTAGAAGTGAAGGATAGAAAATACCAGTGAGGGTTTGCTGGTTGAGCTGCAGCCACTCAAAAAGATGAAGGAAGAGCAGCTCAAGAAGAAGCAGAGAGGAACATAATATGTAAGGCAAACATGGGAGAGGAGGTGATGCTCAAGCAGAGCAAGGGTGACATTATATTTCTTTGAAATATAAGTTTATGTAAACATTTCATATTTATATTAATTCTGTCAGGTAACATGCTCTACTAGAAAATTTCCATGGTAGCCCAGAACTCGCACACCAAAGGCAGGAGAAGGGTTGCGCCCTGTCCTGAGCTGGTGCAAGGCTTGTAAGCCTACCCTGGCCTAAGCTGCACTGAGCGAGCTGGGCTCTCATCAAATCAAATTGATGCCCTGTGGTAATTTTCCTGCGGGCTCTCTCCTGGGTTTGGTACAACAGCCAGACTCTGCTTACGAATGATTTAAGGTCAATTAGTGATTAAAAACATTTCTTGAAAATGCGGTTCCCATGATCTTTTGCTTTGCTGAATTCATTTTGAACTGCAAGTGCAGCAGGGAGATGTGGTGCTTCATAGTTCCCTTCTTCACAGAGCCTCAATTTCACCGCACCTTTCTTAGCTGAATCACTCATATGTGATGGCTGACACGGGTTCCCTACTGTCATGTCCTCCTTGCCTGGAGTGGTACTTCTAGCCACTGTCTTTTTTATTTAGATGAGAATGTTTGCTTGTATTCTGTGGTTAGCCTTAACTCAGCAGAATAGAGAGAGAGAAAAGAAAGCTTGCAGAATGTTTTTGTCCATGAGGTCAAGGTGAACCAAAGCAGTTGGATACCTTATAGTTCCGCATTAACAGCCTGGATTTGTGTCTCTTTCTCTAATATTTTATTGTTGTTGTCTTTTGACTGCAAGTTTTCTTAAGTGGCAATACAGATATAAAAGATAACTTGTACTTGCTTTTTTGTGTTGTATATCTGTGACTAGAAATTCGAAAAGAACATGTGCAAACTGAAAAGCAAAATCCTTTTATTGTAACTTTAAAAATCCAGGTATTTTAAAAGGATGTCTGTCTTGAAACTCACTAACCCCAGCCCCCCTTGAATGCTGCTCTCAGCTGGGCAGAACAGGCCACCCGCAGCTCCCGTCCAGCCTTGGCCTCCTGGGAATTAATTGCTGCTTCTCATTTTTGTTGTCGCTCTGTAGCAGTTGAAGAGTCGGCCAACCTGCCCCCTTCGCCGCCTCCGTCGCCGGCTGCCGAGCAGACGGGACCTCTGGAGGAAGGTAAGGGCCTCCCAGGCACTGCAGCGTGCGGCAGGCAGCCGGGCACGAGGCAGGAGCCCCATGGATGGGGGAGTCGGAAAACAGAAACTTTCTGCCAGGCAAGGCAGTTCCCCAGCGATAGCTCCCCCCTGCCAAGCTGCTGCAGTGCATGGGTGAGGTGGAAGCGTATGCACATGCACACGGGCAAGGTGTGTTGAGTCCGTCCACGTGAAAGAAAAGCCATGGTGATGGCAGCCTTTTTGTCTGTCAGACACGGGGAGCTAAGATATCTGCAATCTCAGCATGGTCTCCAGAACCGTGATTTCATATGGGTCATTTTTTAATTAGGATTTGGTTGGTTCCGTTTTTAATCACCAGTAACTTCATTTCGGAATGTTAAATGCATGCAAGTGAGGAGATTCAGAGATGTGGCCTTTCTTGCTCTTTGGCTTCTAATTTTTGCTCCAGTGCCCGTGTGTGCTGGGATTTCTGCTCCTGAGTGCACAGGTCACACTGTGGGCTCACTAAGGAAATTCCCACTCAGTTCTGCACAATGAACACTCAATCTTAGTAACTCATGATCTCTGCATTTTCCTTTTGCTAAGCTCCCCATCTAGCAAAGGACTTAGCTCTGACTTTAAGCAGATGCCTAAATTCCAGTGAAGTTCTATCCTCAGCGGCTAGCATGTTCAGCAGAGTAGACTGGTCTAACAGGGCCAGCAATATAGGGAGACACAGCAATATTTTAAAAGAGAATTACATCTTAAGGGCATGAGGAAAGCACTTGATGCTCACAGCCCCCAGGCACTGGCCAGTGAACTCAGCCCTGTGCACAGCACTTTTATGTGTTAATTGCTACTGTTTTGGATTTTCTTTCATCTTTCTTTTTTCTTTTTTCAAAGTACATGGAAATAAGTTCTTACTGTCTGGTGAACAAACTCTGTCGGTATTTTGGTATTTTAACAGAGTCTCCATTAATGTTCCAACTGGATAGTTCCTATTTTACGTGCTAACACGGTCTGACTCTGACTCTATCAGGACACTGCAGTTAGGCATGTCCCATCCTCTGGTCATTTCTGAGATAATGCAATTACAGCCTGTGTCAACAACACCACGTGGCAAGTCACTGTACTGGAAATACCTACTGGATATAGTTACTAACCAGTATATAAAAATTGATTAATTGATACCTCCCCTCACCGCCCCCCCAAAAAATCTGCCTATTGGTGTTGAGAAAATAGTACAACAGTTCCTCGACACATCAACCAGAGGTAATAGCAATCAAACTATTGAGTGAAAAGAAGACTACAGGGTGTTTGGAAAGGCTTTTAGAATAGTTAGCAGGTTTTGCGTGCGAGCGCAGTTCACTTGCCTAGTCCAGTGTATGCTTTCCGATTTTTTTCATAAAGGGCCCGTTCAGGCTTCAGGCAAATGTCAAGGTTCTTTCATTTCTCTGAGTTTAGGATCAGCTTTGCATGGTGTTTCTATCAGCAATGTTATTTGCATGTATTTCAGGATTTTATAAAGTAACTATATTGATTAATTGACAAGAGGTTATAGGTTGACTGCTTAACAAATGGAGCCCATCTTGCTAGTTGCATTAGCACAAGAAAGGTGCAAAAACCCTATACAATTCTAGGTTATTATGAACTACTGGACTGTGCTGTTCCCAGCTGTGCAGATGACTCAGCAAGTCACTTAACATGGTTGTTTTTCCCTTTCCTTGTACGTAGGATTGAGTTAATATAATAGCACTTACCCACCCTGCAGGGGTGTTGTGAGGACTGAAGGTCAGTGTTTGGGTACGTTTTGGATGATTTACACAGTGCTACAGCTCTTAGAAACATTCAAATCATTTCCTTTGAGGTTAGTCAAAAGGCTTTTCTGTAACAAGATTTTTGTCCAACTCTTAATTTTCAGAGCAGAGGCTTGTATAAATTCCAAAAGCACAGGTTCATGGAAATATGTGCTGAGTTAGTAATGCACTCGGCTGGACACTTCTTGTTTTTGTCCAGCTCTGGAACTGCAGCTCCCAATAGGGTTGGCTGATGGACAAAAGGAACTTCTTGGAGACGTTTTCTCCAAACGTAGCTCTTGTCTTGCTCTTCCTCAAAGTATGGGTCTCGTCAGCTCAATCTGGTTAATGAACTAGAAGAAGCAAACATTTTGTGTCCTGATCCATGTTAAAAGGTATGGTCCTTAGTTTCTGCAGCGGGGAACGAACTTCTGGTGACTTGGCTGAACCTGTCCCATCATTTTTATTCAGAAAAAGCTCTCATTCTTTAGAGATTGCCTCAGTAGAGCATGGGCCAGTTTGTACTGTGCTTGTTAAAACCTCCAATTCCCTATACCATCCATGCTTCATGTACCCTTATGTGAGTATATCATTGTCTGTCTATTTTCTGCTTAGTAGAATAGAATTTATAAATTTAACCAGATTCTACAGTTCTTGATCAGAAAAAGCTTAGCATTTGGTGTGTGTATCTACCTCGGGCTTCCTTTTTCCACCTACCCTTACAAGGTTTTCCTAGTGCTCTTGTCAGTGTGTTGCATTGCTCTGGCTCCAAAAGAGACTTCCTTCAGTCACTGCAGGAAGGCAGTCGCTGGCGTAGACGTGACAGAGGTGGATGTGGCCAGCCATGCAGCAAACGCAGTCAGGAAAGAAAAGGTAGAGAAGGCAGAGAGGTTTGTGGGTCAAGTGTATTTCAGGAGAGAAAGGAGCCAGTGGATGTAGGTTTCTTTCTTCCGTTTGGCTTCAGAAAAACGTCCAGATGAGCCTGTCCGTTTTCACTGCTGCAGGAGGTAAGATAACTAACTTGCCCTATGGAAATTATTTCATTTATTACAACTATTGTAACATGATTTTGCTCAGGAAATGAATTTTTTCTTAGCACTGTCTAATCCTTTTATCGGTTGAGTCTGGACATGCAGGGCAGCTGGGCTATTCTCTTATCAACTTGACATTTCTTTTGTGTGCTGCACTTTTTGACAATGGTCAGTACTGTCTTAATGTAGAAATGCATCTAAATGTTACAAGATAGGGGGATGGTTTTGATGGACTGCTTTTCATTTGGAAGTAGGCATTTCAGCATAGGCTTTGTATGCCAAATACGAATATTTTGCAAACTGAAAAGAAGCAAGCATCCTACAAAAAAGATCTGTTTCCAATGAAAATTATTTCTTGAAAGGTATTTTCAAAAGCTACCCAGAAGCCAAAGTAGAATTAGCTTTTATGAAAAATGATTTTAATCTTGGACTTTAGAACACATTGTGGGTTTTTTATTGTTGTTTTATTTTTATTTTTTTGTACTCAGGCTTTGAAATCAAAAGAACTGTTAGAATGGACTAAAACAATAAAGAAAGGATTTTTCTTGTTGCAGAAATAAAAGCATATTCCCCTTTAAAGACAGCATTATCCCATTAATGAAATTATCTGCAGTTAGTTTGAAAATACCTTTATTAAAATTGATAGATAAACAATGTAAGTCTGTAATAGACACAGATATAACAACCCTCAACAATACCAGACTTCACACCCCTAATGATTCTGGTCCATCACAGTAATCTGTATTGCTACTAGTATTACAGAGAAGGGGAGCCCATATTTCTTGCTTACAATCCATTCAGAGGCTATAAAGAAGGGTGGGTAAACCTGTGGGTTTTGCATGGGTAGATAAACCTGAGGTTCCTCTTATTTAATGTATTTTACTTCTGAAAAATCCTGGGACGAATACGAGCTGCAGCTGAAATGAGAGCCTCCCCTGTTCCAGTTGAACCTCGTTCTCCATAGGGCACATTCTCTCTTCCCTGATCTACTTCTGGCCCTACCTTGTGTGTTTTTCTCCACAGTGTTCCAGCAGAGAAAAGGTGGGTGCCCTGCATTCCTTTCTGCTCCTGTCCACAGTGATGTCATCCAATGTTGGAGCACCCTGCAGAGAAGCAGGAGTTGTAGTTCTGAATCTCCTCGGGTTTTGGAGGCAGTTGCGTCCTGAGACGTGCCGCATCCTCCGTAACGCATCATTTGGGGGCCCCTTCAGGTCTTTGTTGAGAATGAATGTTGTAGGAGCTTATATGGAGGAGAAATCCATGAGTTTTGCTCTGCAGGTGGATCAGGATGCTTCCTTGCAATCTTGCTGGGGGTCTTGAGCACTAGGGACGTGAAGGGACTTGAGTTTCATCCCTGTGTTTTTCATCTGCTGTTGTGGTGCTCTGCAGAAGCAGGTTGCTGGCTTCTCTTTCCACTTTAAGCATGTATAAACCCTAAATCTGGGGGTTTGATTCCACTGCAGGAGCAAAGCATCTAAGTTATCAGTGTTTCAAGCACTCTGTGTACCCTGAAACAAACTGTTAGAAGGGTTCTCTTAAGCTTGATGACATTGGAGGTATTTCTGGCTGTGCATGAGTGCACATTCAGCACAGCCAACCTCAGCACTGTCTCCGGGTGTTAACTATGGATAATCTTCCTTTCACATCCCAATGATATATATTGGTGATACTAACATTATAAACCAAATTTTTATTCCTCTTTGTGGGTGATTTGAGCCTGAATGGGTTGATATTACAGTATTCCTCGCCCAGGAGGAAGAAATATGTATCATTGTGTTATTGGTGTCGTGCTGCTGCAGAAAGTGCCCTTTTTAAAGATGCAGATGTTGTCTTGTTATTGTGTGCTATAGAAGGAAACTTAAAACTTACAGTTGTTTGTCAGGAAGAAGCTGGGAGCTCTTTTAGTTGGAATTGGTTTGGTCACAATATGTGGTGAGATGAAGTAGATGGATAAAACCTGCTTTCCGAGACTTAGAGTAATAGTAGTTGCAGCAGCATTCATGAGCCACCTTGTTTTCAGGTGGCCCACAGAGGCCTGGTTAACACCTCATTGTGCTGAAGGCTTCTGCACCCAGGGGGTTGGATCTGAGAGGAAAGTTTTAAAGGCCTCAAGGAAGCTCTGAAGTTGCAGTTGCCTAGACAGGGACACTCGACACAAACTTTTTTGAAACTCATAGAAAATCTCATGGTATAGC